TTCAGATAGTCTTTTTGTACATAAAATTTAAACATATATGTGAAAATCAAGAGTACAATATCTTAATCATTTTGTGGGAAAAGTTGAATATTTTTTTAGTTAGGCTATCTAAATTTTATAATGGCGCATTTTAAAGTCTTTAAGACTGAGTAACTACTCAGAGACTTTACCGACACTTCAATTGCCTTAGGTGATATCCACATAACGCTAAATATATGAGAGCAACTTCAATTCTGTACCCTTTACAATCTCACGTAAAATAAAAGTCATATAAACAGCTTGTATCACTTGTCACCAACTAACAGCGTTTCATAGTGCGTGCTGAAAAGGACAGACAAAATGCAGATTATCGTAAAACAGGTTCTTAGGTGAGTTTGAGCGAGGGTTTACAATCTATATAAAGATGGTGATGTCAGCAGTATTGGCAGTCCTTCCTGGGAACGGCGAGTTAAACAAAGTTTAATTGTAACGTGGATACCCATTGCTAGGCAACAGCTTGGTAGGCGCCATCCGTCCTAAGCGCATGACAACAATAACAGACGTTAGTGCTAGGCAACGGAACTGTAAACACGCGGCCATATCAGTACGCGACAAGAATGAAAGGTGTTTCTATGGGTTCCGTGCCGGAGTTTTATAGGGGACAACGAAGGTCGTTTGCAGTCAGTCTTAGAACGAGAAGCAAAGTGAAGAGAGGCTTCAGCGAACAAGATTCATTGTGAGCTGTAATAATTGGTTGTAATTGTAAAGAAGTGCCAATAAATCCAATAATCTAATGCAAAACCCGTTAGTATTTATCACGCGAACCCCTTACACGCGACACTATTAACTTCGTATCGGACTTATAATGCCTGTATATTAAAAACCTCATTGTTGAGGATAGACAATAGAGCGAAGGTGCCTGACAACAGAATGCCTGTATATTAAAAACCGATTGTTGAGGATAGACCATAGACTGAAGGAGCCTGACAGCAGAATAATGCCTGTATATTAAAGAAAACGATTGTTGAGGATAGATCATAGAGTGAAGGAGCCTGACAGCAGGGTGCTGAGGAGAGTATTTGTACCTAAGGGGCAGAAAGTAACAGGATGCTGCAGAAAATTGAAGAATGAGGAACATCATATTAATCGATTTCATCGTTTATTTGTAAATTATGATTTTCGTCAGGCGACAGGTTGATAAAAGTGCTGGATTGGGAAGAATGTAAAGCAGTCATAGATGGTCATAGACTGTTTGACGCGGTAGATATATCTGCATTTGACTGTTTGGACGAAGGAAAATGGCCTAGATTTGAATTCAGAACCTCCAAGGCACGACGGTAACTCATTAGCACGTTCTGAAGCAAGAAAGACTATTCTTGGGTATGGGGGGGGGGGAATTTACAACGCTGTCAGTACATGAACTAGCGGTGATTGGCAGAATAGTTGAGCAGCTGAAAACGATTTTGAATGAAGTGATCTTAAACTGATCTAGGCAGTGACTTAGTGTTATCCCAGCCGATATTGGAACCAAGCACCTTCCAAATACAGTTATTGAGCTTTACTGGTAGACTAACTGTTCGGCGAGGGACTGTTGTTTTATTTGATATCGTAAGAAATTTCTAGTTTCGCCAGTAAAGTATTTTATATCACACTATAGACGGAACTTAAAGAATTAGACATTACGCATAAATTTCAGCGGAAACACTGCTATACATTCATTTTTTGTGTTATTCATAAATCCTTGGTAATCTTAGTTGGTGTCTTGTTCTTGTAAGAAGAACCGCAGTAAAACTTTTTATGTTGGTACGAAGATCACATAATTGACTTTTTCTTCGAAAGTGCCAAGGTTTCTCCATTTGCAGAAACAAGGAGAATAGTAAAGGCCGATATTACTGTTTAGAAAAATATAAGTAATTTTATAAGAAATTAGTATGAAACGCAAATCACAGTGGAATATCAATCCTAAAAGAAAATAATTAATTAAAACATAAATGGAATATAATTTTATTTAAAAGAGCGTGTTTCGTATCCAAAAGTAGTGCAGTACGAGATACCATTTTCCTGCTTATGTAAAGAAATTACGCGTCACTAATTGTATAACGTTATATCCTAATTAATTAATACAAGGAGACCCATTTAACAGTTTGAAGTCTAAATGTCCCTGTTACTATACACCGAAACTACGTTTATCTTCAGATAATGTGTTGTTTAAGAAGGAAGAAGGAACAGCAAAAGGGACAATTTTTGTTCTCTACTCATATAAAGCCCGCTCAGTTTCCTCGTCCAGTTCGTACAGATCTGTATCCAAGAAGCCTACTTCAGAATTTGCTTCAAGGGAATAAGGAAACGACAAAGAACAGAGGACAGACGTTTTCAGATCAAGACTCTAACCGGGTACCCCTGACTACTGGTTTCACTGGACCGCTCTTGTAACTCAGTACATGAGACCAAATAGACTGAAATAGAGCGGAAGGCCAGAAGCTTCATGAAGACGTGGTCCTGTGCTACACAAGGGCTGTATGGATGATATAAACGTGTCCAACAGTTTATACGTTTCGCCCCATCCTCCCCCTTTCAATTTATTGGAAATATGCATCAGAGTCATAATGCGAGTTCCTTCAATAAAATACACGGAGAAAACTGAAACCGAACGCAAAATAATTACTGCCATCCAAGTGTACATAAAGTGACCGAACAAACATGTATAGCGCCAGGTCACTGCATGCTACCTGTGCTCAGCAAGAAATCCATATTTCTAGCAGTTTCGAAGTGACAAAAACTTTTGAATAATAAATGTTGTTTTGGTCACAATAATGTCAAGTGTAAAGTGAAGTTTAAATTCTCTATTGTCACGTTATATTTTTGTGTTTATATATACAGTGATGTGTCGTGTGGTATTGCAGTGTTTTCAAGAGCATTAGGATTTCCATTCAACCACAATGGATTCAAAAGTTTCCCCTCTCACACGTATGTACCTAACTTGTTTTCATGAAGAATACACGCTTATAACAGGGGGGTATGCGAAGTGAAACACATGATGTCATTGGTGTTATGCTAGCAGTCCTGTTCAATGACGGTGTAAAATGTGCAGTGGTGCGTGTAGAGTATATGTTGTAGCATAAAGAATGATGGCAAGTGATTTGTAAGTTAGATGTGTAGTTCGGTGTGATAGACAACGGATTGCAATCTTGCTATCTACTCGTACTCTTCCAGGCTCACATGTGCTAGCAGGAAGTATACAGCATCTGGGAATTATTTTCTTTCCTTCTATTAAACTGCTTACAGAATCACATTGTTTACAGGAAAGCACGAGTTGTTACAGCTGACATTCTTGTAATTGTATTTTATAGTTTAGTCTAGAACATATATAGTGATGTGTTCGTTGTTTGTTTTAATGCTTAGAAGATTGTTGAATGATATTCTCTTAGGTTGAGATCGTAATCAGTGATTTCCCTATCGAATATTCGAGCACTACTATTGTGGGTTGGATAGCTTTCATATAAAGTATATGTATATCCTTCACATATGTCGAAAAACATAATAAAGTTAATAATGGGAGCATTTTAAAAGAGAATATTTCGGTTACTGTTGGAAATTCTAAGAGTCAATGAAGATAACTGTGATATCATGCCCTTGAGAGCGTTCTGAAATGTCAATATTTCGAAAAAAATGCATTTACGACCATTATAAATATCGTAATATGTTCCAGGTTTCATAGATTACGTAGAGAGTTTAACAGAAAAATATATGCAATAGTTTATCTTATGAGAAAATTCGGAAATAAAAAGTCCCTTTTAAATATATAATGATTTCCTACGCTCTCAGAGACATTCAATCGTAAGATATTGCCGACGGCCAAACAGGGCCCAACTGAGCATAAAGATGCGCAGTAGNTAGCTTTCATATAAAGTATATGTATATCCTTCACATATGTCGAAAAACATAATAAAGTTAATAATGGGAGCATTTTAAAAGAGAATATTTCGGTTACTGTTGGAAATTCTAAGAGTCAATGAAGATAACTGTGATATCATGCCCTTGAGAGCGTTCTGAAATGTCAATATTTCGAAAAAAATGCATTTACGACCATTATAAATATCGTAATATGTTCCAGGTTTCATAGATTACGTAGAGAGTTTAACAGAAAAATATATGCAATAGTTTATCTTATGAGAAAATTCGGAAATAAAAAGTCCCTTTTAAATATATAATGATTTCCTACGCTCTCAGAGACATTCAATCGTAAGATATTGCCGACGGCCAAACAGGGCCCAACTGAGCATAAAGATGCGCAGTAGTCATTTGCGCACACCTGTCATAATGTACACTCACAACCTAACATTAACGTAAATCACCGAGCTTCGCCCCCTCCAAGGTAGAGATGGATGCGCAGTAGTCTACTGAGCAGACCTCACCTGACCTAACTTAACCTAACTTAACCTAACCTAACCTAACCTAACCTAACCTAACCTAACCTAACCTAACCTAACCTAACCTAACATCAGCGAATGGTCCCCCTGAGATACAGGTGGCTGCTCAGTAGTTCATTGCGCACACGTAAGAGTGACGTCATCTACGAAGCAGCCATTTAACGGAACGTAATATAGGACTGTCGTAACATGGAATATTAATCGAAATATGGCGTTATGTATAAAATTGAGCGTGTTGACTGTTTTTCCACCCATAATATCAATCTATGCTCTTATATTCCGAGATTATATTGCTAGGTGATGGCTTAGATTGTGTCGAAAACGCCGCTCCCACCTCACGAGTTTGCGCATCCTCGACGGTGATACAAATGATTACTGAATATCACGTTTTTTTGGCATTATGCTGCCCTCCAATGGCATAACGTTATGACGAAAGATTTTTATTATCAGTGAAATCGTTGCCTTCTCTCTCGTGGATGGATACGCGACCAATTCAAACACTGCTTGGCAATTGTTTCGCCCGAATTTCCCTTCTTGGATAGAATGTAGAATAATATTATACACGAAGATGGGTAAAAAATAGGTTGAAAAATTACCGTCCTATAATGGAACTGATAATGGAATGTTTTTGTTTCAGTCATGTTAAGAGGTTGGCTGCCCTGTCACTGTGACCTAAATATCCGGTGTACAAAATCAAGGTAGGTTGTTTCTTTCCTGGTATGAAGAGGTGTTTATAAATAATAAGACGGTGTTATGTGTGTATGTTAATAATATACATATATGTACAAGTTCTGATTAATTATCTGCCTGATAGTATATCTTAAATGATTCAATGAAATGGTGCAAATGGTAGGCCTTAATTTGTGTATTATCCTGGACCGAGTAATGGCGAGTGCACGAAATTTTACAAACATCTGATTCCTCTGTTCCACAACGAAATCGAAGTGTTTTCCCTCTGAACGATGAAACTGAAGTATGTGTGAAGGAAGAATACACCGTAACGTACATTTATTGATTTAACGAAAGTAAGTGCATGTAAGAATAGTGGGTGTGTAGTGAAAAACAATGTGTCTTTGAGGTTATTCTTGCACTATTTTTAATAATCTCGTGTGAAGTATGTACAGTGATTTGCACAAATTGTGTGTTTTATTGCTTATATGGATAGACGTAAATACAGCCAGTTCGGACTGGTAGAATCATAACGACACAATAGCAAGAGTTAGTGTCATGTACGTATGTACCATTTCAGACATTCATTCATGAGATGAAGTATTCTAAATTACTTGAAATCGCGTTTGACCCTCGTTAAAAGTGCTGAAAATAATTTCATTCATGATTTGAGTTACACGCCGTTGACATGCATTTGTTGAAACAATTTACGCAGTTCTGCATATTTGGGTCTCGGAGAGATTAACTGGTTATAACAGAGGCATGCAATGTATCACTGACAGACGGTAGGGGTGGATGGTAGATTCGATCTTAAAAGAATAACGTTGATTACACTGTGTTTCCATAAGTGTTATTCACGTATAGCATTCACCTTTTGGAATGAGGTAGTTGTATCTTCGAATCAATATTCGAAGGAAAAACATATATAAAAGTGGCATTGTTATACTCACAACGCTAAAAAAGTACCAGTGCACTGGTAATAACTCAAGATACAATATCCTACTTTTAAATAAACGGTTAGTTCTCAGCTGAAATGCATTTTAATAATCATATTTGATACTTTCTTTTATTGTTATTGGGGTGGGACTAAGTTCCTTGTACTGCGGCCACTTCTCGTCTATTGTACCAGCCCCAGATGATAGGTGAGGGTGATTGTGGAGCAATTGGTGGAATGAAGATTGGCAGGGGAAACCGAAGTACTCGGGGATAATCTGCCCCAGCGACACTTTGTCCACCACAAATCCCACTTGACCAGACCCGGGATCGAACCCGGGCCGGCGCGGTGGGAAGCCAGCGACTAACCGCTTGAGCTATATGAGACTTGGTTGAAATATGTATCCAAACAGACTTCATCATGTCGTGCAAATGTTGTTTCTGCATGTACTGTCCGCAGCTCCCTCTCTCCCGTTAGTGACATTGCAGTTATAGGACCAGGGACTTACAGTGCAGTTGTAACATCAGATGATAGAAGAATACAAAATACAAATTTTAAAATCATATTCTACACAGGTATTTTCATGAAAATTACAGATAACGGCAGAGAAAATACTTCCGGCAGATCCACCTACTTCCACGCATTCCGCATTCCGTCAGCCCATCATGTTACCTTCATCTCACGCAGCACCATTACTATTTTATTGTACAAGGACATGTTCGACTGTGTATGAGAGTCCCACCTCTGTTCCTTAAATAATCTTTCTGTCATTCATATGGTTACTGAAACACTTTACTACATAAGTTGTTATATCATAATGTGGCTCTGAACCATTGCTGTTGCATGTAGTGAAATGTTTGGTCATCACGTAATTCATAATCCTGAGAAGAATATTGAAAGATAATAGGAGTACTCTTTTCTTTTTCTTGTTGCTCACACCTTGGAACATAGGACATCCGTGAAACGCTTTGTTTCGCTTTTGTTGCTTAAATCTAAGACAGTCGGTGGGACTCCTTGCATGAGGGATGAACCCGACATGAACAGGATAACAAAAACACAGAATGAACGCATGCAGACATGCTTCGAGTGGGATTCTAACTCACGATGCCAGTTTTCGAGCGAGCGAAGACAGTTCATGCCTAAGACCGCGCGGCCACTGTGATGGGCCGTTAGTATTCTAAATTAACAAAGTGATATACTGTAAAAATGACAGTTGAATTCATTGATCCACAAGCCTTCAAATACGCATTTTTCAAAATCGATCCTATTGCCTTACAACAATAAAATCATTCTGGAAAGAAAAAACAACAACTTAAAGTACATTAATAATTACAGTTAACTTCGGAAAATAGGAGTTTAATTTATCTCGGCATTTCGGTCATTAATTCTTTGAAGCTAGGACCCATATAATTTCTGTGATAATTGAGATTTCTTGTGATTCACCTCAGTGTAGGCGCGTACTGTAAAATGGACCCAGTACCTTGACACAGGCCAGGGTCGTTTCATTCCTACCTAAATCGGTTTAGTTTTACAGTCCATGCAGTTGGAGATGATTTTATTTAGAAGAGTACGAATTCCTAACAAAAATGCAGCAAAGCAGAAAATACAGGTTCTGAAAACCGAGTTCTTAGACGTCAGCTCTCTCAAGGAAAGGTCTGAACTCAGGATTCAGAGAATGGACTAAAAGCCTTCTCTGTTCTCTGATCAAGACATTGATGGTGTCGGTGGTCAGATAAGCAGGTTTCCGATAATTAGGTTAGTCCTGTCTTTCTACACCAGGCGGCTCCTGTGTAGGAGTAGTAGCCTGCAGAGAGAGCCGCAGTCACACTGCCATTCCTATGCGCCTTCTCACTGTTCACGAAACTTGGACTCCGAATTGCAGCCACACGCCCATCTGCATGTGCACTTTGGAGACGGACAGTCAGTAAACACTTTAAAGTACAGTTATTTTTCTGTAATAATGTAGAACTAAATTTTTGACTTGTTAAATCTGAGGGTTGTTCGCGTGTGCTAACACAAAACTATGAATAGTAACTTGGTTTACAAGTCGAACATTATTATTATTGTAAGATTTGAGGCTTTCACGGCGGTGACTATGAAGAAAGCAGTCTTCTGGGATTTGGCACCGTGTATATGTGGTGTTAACCGACGTTTCGGAGGAACGTATCGCC